AGAAGAAATTCATGTATATATCTCCTTTGTCAGTAATTAAAAATGTATATTTAGAGGAGTTTCTTATTTATCTGCTATAATTAAGGTGGGAAGTTTACTGGACACTTTTGTGACCTAAAATGGTAATACAAGATTAGAAGTGCAATGACCATCATGATACCATCATCATTTAAGATTAATTGAATGTTCAAAATTTAATTCTAAAATGTTCAAATAATTTTGAGTTTATCTATGCATTGTTTACATAGAAATACTTGTGTAGTGTTGAACATTTTTGAACACAGTAAACAAGATGTCCTGAGTTCTGAATGAGTGCTGTTAGCAAAGCTTAACTCTGTCATGTCACTGATCCCTCTGTCTAAATCCCTGAAGCTTGGTACTGTAGAAATTCCACTATTGGCAAAACTTAAAGGAGAAACACATGTATCCGAGTCGCTTCTTATAGATTTCCCTGAAGTTTCTCTAGAAAAGTTTCCTGTAGAAGAGGATAAGGACTCAGAAATTGAGGATGAAGATTTTGGTCTTTGATTTTGTTTGGATTCTTTTTGGTTCTTTGACCCGATTTCACATATTTTCATTGAAGATATAAATTTCTGCAATTTTTCCTGATACTTTTCCTCTTCCCTTCTAGTTAACTCCTGTAACTTACCATTCTCTTCTGTAAGTGCCTGATTTTCCATTTTCAGAAGGTTTAACTCTTTAACCAATTCTTGTATTTTATCATCTTTTTCGAGAATCTGAATTTCATGTTTGTTTTGAAGTTCTTTGATTTGTTTTCCTTTGTATTCCATTAATCTCTCATTTGCTCTACAGTTGGCAACACTCTTTTCAATATCACCTTTTTTCTTCTGATATTCTTTCAAGAGAAGCCCTGTTATGCCTGCAAAATAATTCTGATCAGCTAGGTCTTTTGCCCATGGCACCTCTTTCAGTATCTCTGCTTGTAACTGTTCAAGACTTGTTATTGTATTTTGACAGTTGAGGAAAATATTGTCACTCATGGCAGTTGAACCTAAAAGAAACTGGCACAGTTGATCCACTTTCTGTTTTTGGTGGTCTATCTGTGGTTTAGTGGTCAAACCTTTGATTTTTCTTGGAGACACAGGATTTCGTGATAGTAGCGGAGTTGGTTTAGATCTCCCCATAGGAATGCTCTGCACCCTTAACCCACTTCTGTTTGTACGCCCTGCCATTCCTTGTCAAGAAAATACTTGTTTAAATTTACCAGAATGTATATTCAGAATTTTTAATTAATGTTCTCTAATAAGGCTTGGAAAATAGATATTTTAAATATTGGTGCTACCCAATGAATTGATAATTTAATTTTTAAATATAACGTTATAAAAAAAATACAAGCTTTGTATAAAAATTACCTGCTAATTCTAAGAAGCAGCAGCTTTTTTGCAGTGGTTAGACTCGCTTTCCTTGTAAATCTGAGGTAAACCCGAGGAAACATTTGACATTTTATGATGAGAGTGTGATGGTTTTTTTACTGTGCCAGCATGGGAGAGGGCCACAGTTTTAAACTGTTTGCTGATATTTGGGAGAGATCGACACTTTGTTTGCTTAATTGATCCAAACATGATATAGATAACTTGCTAATTTTCTTGTCCTACGTCTGAATAAATACAAGATTTGTTTCATTGCTTCTTCTTTTGTCAAAATGATTTGCTTAGATATTTTTAAATATCATTTAGGTCTTCCTTAACTTGGAGATATTTGAATGAGATGCAAACAAAGTTGTCCTGGTTAAGGTAGAAATATTGTTTTATTTTATTTGCAGACGTGCAAGTCCTTGGTATTGATTTGTCATTTGTTAAGTTCTGTCTGTTTCCACACTGCATGGGGTGTCATTTATCATCTTATTTTATACTGCTGGAAATTTGGGGTTTTTTTCAGTGTTAATATTCATTTAATCTAATCATGCTTCAAAGAGGATGCCATGTATGTATATCTTTCTTTGCTTAATTAAAGCTTCAAGCATTCATTCCATGTCCAGGGTGTAGGGTTCAACTTTTAATAAAGTTTCTAACTGAAGTACATTTCTGTGTAGACTCCATATTCAGGGTCAATTCTCATTCATAGTTTAAACATTCAGTATCCATCCTTGTATATAGCATACACCTGATTTAGACCATTTTAACTTCAGGGGTCAGGGGTAAAAAGGGATGTTTTTATGGAGGAGGATTGCTCATAAGATTGTAGAGTCATTGAATGACAGAGAAAAATCCTGTTACTTATTTGGTCCTGTAAAGAAAGATTAACAAAGGGCCCTATTTGGCCCTGTAGAAAGGGCAATGTTCACTATATATAGTAAGCCTTACTTTATCCTGTAGTAACAGAGTGATATTCACATCGAACCTTATCTGGCCCTGTTAAAAAAAAAATCATAAAATGCCTTATTTGAGGCTGTAGAAAATAGAAAGTTAAAAGATGTTATTTGGTTGTGTAAAAAGAAATAACATTCTAGAGAGCCATATTTGGGCCTGTGAAATAGCAAGGTTAACAAAGAAAATCGAATTCAAGAAACTTGCCTGTCACAAGCCCTGTCTCCCAATCGTAAAGGATTTTTTTTTTTGTATGTAATGAAAACAGGAATAGTATCTTTAACATAAATGCATAAATGTGGGAAATTAGATATAGGACAACATTTCAATAAAGGTCAAGTTTATGCATTTTGTACTGTCTGTATTCACCCAATTTGATGCCCCTGCCCCAATAAGTGTCCCCTGGAACCTTTTTCAATTCACAAAGAATAAGGGCCCCAGCTTCCTCAATAATTTAAACAGGATTTTACCACTATCAATCGACATTATTTAATAATGAATTCTTGGAATGACATCTAATTTCTAAATGCATGTACGCTATTAGCATATATAATGTTATACATTGTTTATGCCTTATTTAAATATGATTTCAGATTTTTATTTAATCAAGGGACATCTCATAGGTATAAATACATTCAAAAATACAGTACACAATAGCAACATATTTAGTATAATATTTAGTAGGAGTAATTAAAACATTTATAAATCAAGCAATTCATTTCTAAATTTGTTTGCAAAAAATATATATTTTCCAAAGCTACATATTTCCTTTGTTTTTGAACTGGTCAACAATACTGTTGTGTTAGTTAATAATCACTAGGGTGACAGGTTGAGTCATTTTTTTATGCCCCAAGATTTTCTGCGCACTTTGGGGATGTATTTTGCCGCTTTCCAGCATTGGTCAATCAATGACCTTTCATCCCCTAATTCTAGACATATTCTTTAACCAACTTGTATATCTTATCCACTTCCTAACCCTATATAGTCGTCTCTACAGACCAATAAACTCGCTTGTTGTGAATTTGTTGTTGGCTGGCATAAAATTGACAAAATTCAAGTGAATGTATTGGTCTGTAGAGATGACTACAAAGGATTAGGAGGTGGATAAAATATACAGGTTGGTTATAGAATATGTATAGAATTAGGGGTGAAAGGTCATTGATTGACCAGTGCTGGAAAGTGGCAAAATACTCCCCAAAGTGCACAGAAAATCTTGCGCCGTAAATTGCACTTTATTTACATTACGGGATCTGTAGCGTTATGGTCAAAGACTAAAATGTAAAACCATAATGCTACAGTTCTGCAGCTAAAATTCCTTTACATCCATTTCTATACATTGTTAATTATTTGACCCACTTAGAAGCACTTTTTGGTTTAAAGTTATTATTGTACACAGTTCCATACAGGCACCTAAAAATTGTTGCTCCTCTTTGTGCTTCTCTAAATGCTTAGAATATTTCTTGGAATTTCTTAATTTAATTAAAAAAGAATTCCAATTAAAAAAACATATGTGAAGTAATGAATGACTTTTAAGCACCCTCAGAGAGGAGTTTATTGTAGTGACGTGTAAATATTAACATAATTTACTAATATAATGCACCCGGAGGTAGTGAACTGAATGGTTTGAAATTAATTATTGTGTTTACAAGAGGGATGCATGATCATGTTGTTTATCATGTTGATTTAAAGTTTATGTAATATTTAGACAATTTGTTGATATGTGTATAGAGAGGGTACTAGGACTCATACAGCTGAAAAAAATTCAGTATGCTAGCAACAGCTGACAATTCTTAAAATAATAAGATGTGTTTGTGAAACACTTTTGCCCCTGTATGGCAGCTCATGCCAAAGGTGAAAGTTTCTCAAGTGCAGGGTAAGCTATAAGGTCGAGGTCAAAACATCAGAAATGTTGATACCCATAGAAAGGTCCTGTCACAACCAATACACCTGTGAAATATGAAAGCCCTAACATCAACCATTCAATTATTAGTTGTGATCAAGGTTAAAGTTTTTCAAATGTAGGTCAAACCCAAAGGTCAAGGTCAAAGTGTCAAAATTAATGGCACCCATTGGAAGGTCTTGTCACAAAGAATACACATGTATATTATGAAAATCCCTAGCTCCAACCATTCAAAACTTACTACCAAGGTTATAGTTTGGTAAAATTTTGCAAAAGTGGGTCAAACTCCAAGGTCAAGAGGTGAAATTTTTTTGTACCCAAAGAAAGGTTTTGTCATTAGAAATAGACATGTGAAATATGAAAACCATGGCTCCAACCATTCAAAACTTATGGCCAAGGTTGAAGTTTTGTAGACGAACAAACAGAGCAAAAACTATGCGCCCCCGAATCTTCGATTACAGGGGCATAAAAAGAAGTTTCTTATGAGATGGTTACTTATGAGATGGTTATTTTACCAAATCTGGTTCTGTAATGCAACCATGTTTGTGTTTTTGAGTTTATAATACACTATCAATTGATTAATCATAAAAGAGAATTATTTTTGCCTATTCAGGCCTACATTATGTAGATAGTGTGCCTTAAGTGGACCACATATTTTGTTTCCTTATGCTGTTGATCTATTGACCTCCATGACAAAATAAAATCTTGAAATAGATGCAGCCTTTAAAGCTTTTTTCATGTAAAGTAAAACCTACGTCATCAAGGAAATACTTTAAGAGGGGTGATTATCTTACATTGCATTATTTATTTGAAAAAGATTTGACAGGCAATATTTGGACATCTATTATCAACAGTTTTTATTGAATTTTAACACTTTTGAGTATTTGTGGCAGTAAGTAAATACAGACTTTGTAATACAGATCAAATCATATATCCAGGTTTCACAACTTGTTGAAATTCAATATGTTGATGGTCTGGTTGATTTTATATCAGTCCTTAAAATGTCTGCTCCTTGAGAGTTCCTTTTTCACCTAGGCACTTCATCTGAATGAGAACTGTTCGCAAAGCTCACATCTGAGAGTTCTGAGCGTGGCCTAGTGAGTGCAGACCCTCTACCCTGACTCTCTAAGGTTGAACTTAGGCCACTGTTGGCACAGCTGATCAAAGAATGTTCACTATCATCTCTCCTTAGTTTGTGTAAAACTGATGGAGTGATAGGTCCAGATAATCGTCTCCTGTACATTTCACCCTTCTCTTTCAATACCTGTGTATAGTCTTCTATCAATAAATCTGATTCTTCTTCAGGTTCTGAAAGCTTTAATTTTAGGTGACGAATCTGATCCCTTAGCTCATCATTTTCAGTGTAACAAGTCTCTAGTTCAGATGTTAGTGTCTGGACTTTTTCTTCCAAGTCTTTGATTTTCTCCTCGGAATGATTCGATTCCTTTATCATTGATTTATGCTTGCTTTTTAATTCTATATTTCGAACATTCATCATATCCGCTTCAGACTGGAGTTTCTTGTTTTTGTTTTCCAGCAGTTTATTTTTATGATTAACCTTCTCTATGTCTTTGTGGTAACCCTGACACTTCTTTTCTAGGGCTTTGTTTCTTTGTTCTAACTCCTGTATTTTGTCTTTCAGACTTTGATTGTCTGTGGTGAGCTCTGAATTCTTGTCCTCCAGTGATGATAAAGAAAATTCGTATTTATTAATCTTATCCTGAAGTCCAACCTGCTTCTCCGTGTGTATTTTTATGGCATTTTGATGGCTTTGCCTTGTTTGCACAAATTTACTTTCCAACTCAATTATCATATCTTCCAATTCCTTATTTTTGTCAGCTACTTGCTTCTTCTCCACCTTAAGTTTCTCTACATCATTCTGGAATGTTCTAGACCTGTTTGTATGGAACTTCACCAGTTCTTTTTCACTTTTTAGATTAGATTCACATTTATGTAACATTTGCTTGATTTGAGAATTTTCTTGCAAGAGATGTCCAATGTCCTCAAGAAAACTAGATTTCTTACTTGACCTGTCAAGAACAGCTTCAATATCCTTAGTCAGGGTCTGTATGGCACTCAATGACCTTCGCGTCAAGTCTGTTGGACTTTCCATAAGACTTGGTCGTCCAAGTAGAAGTTCTGTAAGCTGACTGTTCATTTGACACAGAATCTTTTTGGCTTCACTATGATTCCTTTCTATTTTCAGAACTTTTTTGGTTGAGCTTGTTTTTGGTTTTGTGCCCTTGGCTGGTTCTCCCTGATTTTTTGCCTGGTCAGAATGTTTTTTGGTTAAATCAAGGGAAGTTTTGGATTGTTCCAATGACTTTTTTGTGGAATTCTCAGAACTTTTTCCCTTCTCTGTAACTTTCCTGCTGGGTTCCGTTGGATTTTGATCGTGATCATTGTCATTCTTTGTTGCTTCTCCCTTGCTTGTAATCTCTTTGTCACTGGGACTTGTTTTGGAATTTTTCCCTTTCTTTGTCTGGTTCTGTGCCATTCAGAGTGGTTCATAAAGTTTTCTATCTATGTTTTGCAGAAAAAAATCAGTAGATAGAGATGATATTCAGAAATTTTATGCAAAAATATTTTAATTCTGTTACATACTTTAAATCCTGGGAACTGAATTTCTCAACAAATACTGATTAATACTTTTTAGCTCACCTGAGCTCAAAGCTCAAATGAGTTTTCCTGATCACATTTTGTCTGTCTGACTGTCTGTCCAAACGTCTGCAAACTTTTCACGTTTTCGATTTCTTCTCTAGAACCAAACTGGGCCAATTTCAACCAAACTTGTTACAAAGCATCCTTGGGTGAAGGGGATTCAAGTTTGTTCAAATGAAGGGCTACACCCTCATGCAAGGAGAGATAAATCAGAAATAATGAAAATTTGGTTGCATGTTTTAAAACTTTTCTTTTCAAGAACCACTGGGCTAAAAAAGTTGAAACTTATTGGAAACCTTTTTTAACATAGTGTAGATTCAAGTTTGTTCAAATGATGACCCCTGGGGGTAGGATGGGGCTTCAACGGGGGATCAAAGTTTTACATAGGAATATATAGAGGAAAAATTTGAAAAATCTTCTTCTCAAGAACAGCAAAGCATGTTTAGTCATATTGATTTGATTTGTGCTTTTTCTTAGCCAATGTGCTCAGGTGAGCAATGTGGCCCATGGGCCTCTTGTATTACATAAATGTTGTCGTGTAAATCCATGCATAAACTTTAAAAATGCATAATTTTTCATGCCTTAAAAGTGTTCATAAAATAAAGAATGCAAAGCAACAGGAAAAGATTAATTTTAAGCTTAGCCTTAGCATTTTTATGTTATTTTATGGGAAAAAATAACCAGAAACAAGAATATTTATAGAGTAGTTTTGAATATAAAGATGAACATTGCAAGATTTCTAGATCTTATTTTGAACCAGTAATCCCATGACTATCAATTTTGGACATTTTATAAAAACACTGGCTTAAAGTTTCCGAATTACATAATATAAAGATAAAGTGGCTTACCTACTAAAATTAGAAGTTTCCATATATCCAATAATAAGGGACCTCGATCATCCAAAAACTCTTCATTTACTCACTTTCCATGATGGTAAGTTCTCATATGATTTTCATTTATTGTCCACTTTTAAAAGATATAAACATTCAATTTTCCAACCTCTAAGTATGATAGTGTTATCAGGTATTGAATTCTTATAGGTGTCCTAGGAGATCAATGTCACATTTTCTGTTTGCTAGACAGATAGAGCTCAGATTGTACGATGTAACCATTACATATTAATTCCTCAAATTTGCAATAGAACTCTGCATTGCTGCTGTGGCCCACTCGATAGCATGTCCTGAACAGTCTGTATTAATTTTACTGTTTAATACTAAGTTGCTATAATTTAAAATTGAATATTTAAACACCACTCCTTTCTCATTTCAAGATTTATAAAGATAGGCAGTTCAATTGAAGAGATTTAAAAACTGCAATTGAACATACCTTGTTAATGCATTATCTGTGGAAGATGTGTAGGGACCTTCTTTTAAATGAAAATTTAAAAACCCTTGAAATGGTTTTATTTTATTATTTAATACTGCTAATATTGACTATTGAATTGTCCCAAAAGAAGGACATTGGATGACTCTTTATTTTCAGTGCATGCAGATTATTGTCAGTGTCAAATTTATACAAAACTTGCTGAGTCTTGGTAAGGAAAAAAACACTTATGAAAAAAGCCTTTAAATAATGTCAACGTGAGTGCATAAGAAGCAATTTGTTATCAAAGAAATGCCTATTTTGTAATCTGACACCAAAGATATGTTGATAAATAAATTCATAGCCACTGCTACATGTATAAGTACTGCAAGGTTGGGATGATTTGGGGGGTATAGGGTATAGATCGATGCATATTATATGTTCATCTCATTTGTATCAAATATATTTTGTAACAACTTGATTTTAAGTCTCGATGCAGGAGTAATTGGAGTACAAAACTGATGTGACATAAATAGAGGATATATATTCAATGTTTTGTAGTTGTACATGGACTTTTTTTTTTAACCTTTTCACAAGTCTCATGATTGAAACAAATTACATGAAATTGAATTTTCTAGTCATTTTCTTTCCCTCCTATATTAAGCTATCTTTTCATTATGCAGGCCTGTAGGTGACATATATTAGTTTAGCAGTTGCGAAACATTGGAGCAAAGTAATTGTGAGATTGAAAATTATAAACATGGATATTAATAACAATTTTGAGAAACTTAAATGTCTGTATATTTAGTCAGTGTCTGGATGCTTGTTTATTCACTCTCACTATCTTAATAGAGAGTATTTTCTTTAACACTTTTCATGAAGGGAAGGGAAATACTGAATTTTGCTCTGAATCTATTAGTTTCATTTTGAGAATAATATTTTGGTTATTTTCACAGTGAAAATAAGACATCTGTCAGTCTGTGAAAATATCAAATTTATTCAAGGAATGATTACTACAGTATATATAACTGTTAAATTTAATAAAAGAGAGTATTCATTGCTATTTATTTCTCCTGGAAATCATCTTTCCCCAATTGTTTCAGCCATGAATGGTAGTTTGCATAGAAGAGTATGCAATGTAAAATTCAACTTAAAATGCAACATCAATCGTCATGGTTAAAATTTATACAGCTGCAGCATCTCCAATAATGGTTGCAATTTATACAGCTGCAGACATCTCCCATAATGGTTAAAATTTATACAGCTGCAACATCACCCATAATGGTTGAAATTTATACAGCTGCAGCATCTCCCATAATGGCTAAAATTTATACGGCTGCAACATCACCCATAATGGTTGAAATTTATACAGCTGCAACATCACCCATAATGGTTGAAATTTATACAGCTGCAACATCTCCCATAATGGTTAAAATTGATACAGCTGCAATGCCACCCATAATGGTTAAAATTTATACAGCTGCAACATCTCCCATAATGGTTAAAATTGTAATACAGGTGCAACATCAATCATAATGGTTGAAATTTATACAGCTGCAGCGTCTCCCATAATGGTTGAAATTTATACAGCTGCAACATCTCCCATAATGGTTAAAATTGTAATACAGGTGCAACATCACTCATAATGGTTGAAATTTATACAGCTGCAGCGTCTCCCATAATGGTTGAAATTTATACAGCTGCAACATCACCCATAATGGCTAAAATTTATACAGCTGCAACATCTCCCATAATGGTTAAAATTCATGTAGCAGTAATAAAATATTTATTGAATTAAAGAATGGGCATACTTTACTGCATATTGTATAAAAATTAATTATGATGATAATCTTAGTTTGTTTATTAATATTATCAACGATTTTTAGTTTCAAGATTGTGCATTATTTACACCTTAGAATCAGCTTTAACAAGATATTGAGTGAAGTATTCTGTCTTCTTCACTTTGATACCTCTCAATGTGCAGTTCCTTCACCATTAATTGTTTACTGCATGTCTTTTAAATTAAAGGGAACCCCCATTATGATCCAGAACACTTCTTGTCATTGGTTAACATTCATTGGAATTCCATACCAACAGATTCTATGAATAGAGATTGTATCACTACTGACACTGCATGCACAATATAAAATGTAATTCTACTGTCCATGCAGAATGGTGTAAAATATTCAAGGCCATAAATGAGTTGTATAGGCAATTATAATTTACAGTAATGTTGTCTATAAAGCCTTAACTTAAGTAGTAAAAAAAATATTAAAACCCAAGAATACATTATCTGTCAATTCAAACTTGCATGAATTCAAAAGCAATTCATTAACTATTTATATAAATTTTTCAAGAAACATATTGTCAATTACATAATTATTTGTTGATCTTTGATATATTTCTTCCAAACCTAGCTTTGAATTTCTTCGTTCATTTTAAGGTATTATTTGTTTGGAAACCAAATTTTAAGCTGGATTGCGAAGCAGCAATCTTGATGTCTATAATTTGATGATCTATATGTCCTTCAATGGGCTCTGTTTTACTTTGCCTATTTAACACATTCTCCAAACTAAAGGTATTAAATTTCTGTGTGAGATGTTTTCGGTACTGTCATCAGAGTTGTCCTTGGCCTTGACCTTTGAACTTGTCATTTGTAAATGAATGTTTTATCTCTGTTAAGGATTAATACCACAATTAAGAGTTTAACCTGGCCTTGACCTTTAGATTGGTAAAATTTTATAATCTGCTGAGGATTCTATCAGTTATATAACTCCACATGTTATAAAGCCAGTAGTGATCAGACAGTCCAAGTTTGATTAGAGTTATCTAGATTCCTTTTATATGGATACTGGATCTGAAGATTTTCTTTATGTTTACTTGTTATAGGTAGATATAAGTGTTTTGTTTTGATACCCAATTTATGCTTAGTTTGAAGAGACTTCAGTTATTTTAGTACCTGTTGTACATGATATTCCTGCTTTCATTAGCATTAGTCAATGCAACTACATATATTTCATAAAGGATCAAAGTACCAAAAAATCTGAAAATTATATGTCTTGACAAATTTACAAGATTAAACTTGTTTTCATATTTGAAACTTAAGGTGTTTACCTTTGTACCCATTTCCCTGTAAACTGGAGCTTAAGAGGTAGCACATTTGAACCAAATTACTAAACTTTTACAAGAGTCTATATATTTGATAATTTTGTAATAGGAAGGGTGAACATGCAATGAAACAGACCAAGATTCAAAACCAGGCATCCTGAACTCTAGACAGGTCACCAACAAGCTCTCTGGCCAAGGTGATCAGACCTGCCTGATCACCACATTACCTTCTCCTTAAATGCCCCCCCCCCCCCCTTTTCAAAAAAAAAGACATCAACTCAGATTCTTTTGCCCCTGGCATGACCTTCACCTTCAAATCCTGGGGTGGTCAATGGTACCAAATGTAACAGGAAAGGAGAAAAATGTATGGTTGGTCAGGAATGAAACTTGGAACAAGTCAGGTGCTATAACCACAGAGCTAGCAGGTTCATAGAGCCCAAACTACT